AGAACAGGCACATGCTTAGCCAGAAGGAACCCTGCCCAAGGCTGGAATAATGGCCTTGGGCCTGGGCTGAAGAGGGAGGGATCTGGGCTGCAGAACAGAGCCTGGGGCACCCTGGGATGGCCCACAACCACGAGGGAAGACCCCTGTCCTTACAGCTCAGCCCAACGTCATCTCCTCCACCGGCAGCCTGGAGCACTGGACAAGGGGCGGGTTAGCCAAGAGCACAGCTCTGAGCTCCCACTCCCAGTGAGGCCTCCCTTCACCCCAGGAAGGCTTCTGCCTCTCACCACCCAGCCAGGGGGCCTGGAAGAGGCAGCCAGCACCTTCCAGTCAGAAGGACCCAGAACAGATGGTACTGCACAGGGCCAGCGTGGAGGCTGGTAGGGAGAGGCTCAGGGCCATTGCACAGGAGTAAAAGTACTTCGGACCAGACTGGGGGCAGTGCCCTGTGGCTTTGCTCCCTGTTTCCCCATCGGGTGAACAGCCCCTTTCCTCTCCTCATTTTTCAAGGACAGAACAGCGGGAGACAGATGTGTGTCTGTACCACAGACCTCCGGGTATAGCCAGCAGCTGCCCAGAGCCTGAGGCTCTGAGAACTTAGGTGATGTCCAGGAAGAAAAGTACCCTTGGTGTGTCTGGCACGGTCTCAGCCTGGGAGGTCACCTAGCTGACCAGGTGGAGCCCTAGGGGCACCGTGACCCACCTGTCTTCTCCCACCGGTCTCTTGTCGTCTACCATAAGACAGAGCTAGAGAAGGGGGCACAGGGCCCCTCCCCGGGTTGTGCCTGTCCTCTGCCAAGCCCACATCCCATGACACAGCAGCCTCTCTTCCCCTCTAGGGAGGGCCCCCAGCCCGGCCCCCAGTGTCTGGGCCCTAAATCCAATCCTCGGCCTAGTAGAGACTGGGTGGCTAGAGACACGAGCCCAGACTCTGCCCCCCTGAATGCTGGCAAAGCCCCACCTGGCACATCCAATCGTGGTCCCAGGACCTCACACATCACCTTTGTGACGCACACCAGGAAAATCGGCTTTCCAGAGCACAGTGTCCCTGTAGACCAGCACCGATGGCAGGAGGAGAGGCAGAGGGATTCCTCTCCAGGGAAGTCAGGGAGTCGGGTACCAGCGTGAAGGAGGAGCAAGCAGGTGATTTCCAAGAGAAGAGAGCTCTGTCCAGGGCACCTTCACCAGAGGCTCTCCTCTGCCTGTCCAGGCCCTAGAAGGGCGGGGATCTCAGGAAGCGGCAGAAGGACAAGGCCAGGGTAAACAGACAGGCATCTCTGCCCTGGGCCTAGGACCTCCTGGTCATAGCACTCTGAGCATCTCCTGGACCCTCCCCAGCTCCCCAAGCCCATCCATTCCTACCCACCCTGAGCCTCCCCTGGTCTATTCATGACCAGAACCTTGGAACTGGCCAGCACAGCTGGGGAGGGGCCCTAAAGGCTAGCCCATCAGAGCCCTGCATGCCCAGCCTGGCCCCAGGTATCAGTGTGGACAGAACTCTCCTTCTTGGGAACAAAGCTACAGTCTTGCATGCAGGCCTCAGGCAGGCGCAACATGCATGCCAGGCAGGGGAGGGCTGAGGAGGACAGCAGAGGCATCTGCCGATGGCCTGAAGGAGCCACTTAGCTTCCAAAGGCTGTGCTGAGCCAGGTGACAGAGGCAGGCCCAGATGGAGAGCACAGAGACAGCAGCGGACAGAACCAGAGAGAGGAAAGCTCTGCTGGGAAGCTCGCTCAGAGAGAGGGCAGTGGCAGAGAGGCTCCAGACACATGCTGGTGGAGCCGCACGACTCGGGCTGGCTCTGTTTTCTGGAAGCAATGGGAGCTGCAGGAAGGCTCTAGGTGCTCTCGGTGCAGGGCGACGGGTTGGGGGTAGTGCTGGAGGGATGGGAGGTGCCTGCACACCAAAGGGCACATGGGGCAGGTGGGAACAGGCTTGGGGCTGGGCCATGGACCTGCTCGCCCCCAAGGAGGGAGGCCTGGAGACGTCCTTCAGTTTACCCCCTCCTTGCCGCTCAGCCTCCTGGGCTGCTCAGCGATGGAGGGAGGGGGCATGGGACTACCTGTCCTTACCCTGCAGCAGTCTCTGAAGACCCAGGAATGACAGAAGAACGCCCCTCCCTGGCATCCTTTCCTTCTCAATGCCACAGTGCCTCCTTCCCGCTGTGGAACTTACAAAGCCCTGGGGATGCTGCCTCCCCAGGCTGACAGCAGCCCAGACCTGGGGAAGTTCTGCATGTGCGGAGCTGAGTGTGGGTTCCTCAGAAGTGCCAGAGGCCCTGCAGGCCCCTATTACCCCAGGCTCAGACCCAAAGGGCTGGATACCTCCACCCTCATCAGGTGCTTATGGGACAGAGAAGCTGAGTGCGGTCCTGAGCCCGGAACAAAAACAGCTTCTGTCAAAAAGGTGGTCTGTCCCCTCATTTCCGGGAAAGAGAAGGAAAGGAAAAAAGGCAGGTGGAGGGCTCCGGCTCCGTCTTCCTGAGCCTCTCAGGGGCTCTCAGAGGGGGCAGACCTGCGGGCACAAGGGGCGGGTGCAGACACCATCATGATATCTGTGTCCCTCTGTCTGGGAAGGTAGAGGACATGGTTGGAGCAGAGAAAAGGAAGAAACAGTGAGACAGCAGAGTGGCTGACAGACAGACGGACAAGCCCTGAGAGGAGACGGAAGACCAGCCCCAGCACAGCCAGCCTCGGGGTGCAGGGTCAGGGCCTACCTTGTATACAACTCGAGCAGGGCATTTCTTCCCCAGCCCCAGGGGTGGGGACATGTGTTTCAGCATCTCAAACATGTCATTGTAACTGCTGCGCCCACTGGAGACCTGGCCCAGACAGGCAGAGGCAGGGTGGGGTTAACAGAAAGGGGTGCGGCGGGAGGGAGGCGGGGGGAGGAAGCAGACAAGAAAACAGATCCAGTTAACCAGC